GCGGGGGTGGGCGGAGGCGGACACTTGCCGGAGCAGCGCGGGGCAAGTGCAGGCGGATGCCGCGGACGCTCGCCAGGTGCATAGTTGTTCTGATTTGGGGGAAAGAAGAGATAAGGAAGAGGCTGCGAAAGGATAAGAAATGCCTGCGGTTTGCGGGGGCCAGGATGGACGCGTGGGGAGGAAGGTGATATGCGAGGGACGTGGCATAAAACCGGGGCTAGTAGATCACGAGCAATCGGACGCTACGCGCGTGACCGGCCGAAGCTTCGGCCGGTCCGCCGGGCGCAAACGTTTCCCTACATGAAACCGAGCTAGCACATTAGCCATCGTAGCGCACAGTCACCGTTGTCTCGTCCTCAGCCGTCTGTGGGAGCTGCTCACGCTTGGCATGCAGCGCATGGCGGCTAAATTTCGTGTTTTGACCTTTTTCTGATAGTTAATCGGGATCTGACTTTAGTTTATAAAACTTTTGGAATCTGACTCTTTTGCTACCGTCAGAGTCTATAGCGGTAGGGTGTAACAGCCTACCGCCAGAGATCTTGGCGGTAGGGTTGCACATCCTACCGAGAAAAATTGCTAAGTATGAAACACGGTGCATGCTCGCACCTACCGCCGGGCAACTTTGGCAGTAGGGTTGTACGGCCTACCTTCAGCATGTTTGGCGGTAGAGGTGTTTTCTACCGCCAAGGTCCCTGACAGTAGGCTGTTACACCCTACCGCCATGGACCCTGACGGTAGCAAAAGGGTCAGATCCTGAAATTTGTACAAATTAGGGTCAGATCTCGATTAAGTTTCAGGAAAGGGTCAAAACACGAAATTTTGCCGCGCATGGCCGACGAGCCGCACGAGCGGCCGGACATGCCAGACATCCTGCCAACGTTGTTCGACATTGTTGCAGGCTCCCGGGAGGCCGGGACTGGACAAAGCGACCCCGGCGCCACACAGCTACCAGGACCCGACGAGACGTCGGACGCTGAAGCGGCCGTCAGAAGCGCGCGAGTGAAACCTCGGACACCTTACTGGTCTCTGATGCGCCGCTGCAATACTACAGAAGGACCTCCCGTAACACCACCATTCTGTCAAACACTTGCACTCCCCTACAGGTCACCATCCCTCCAAGCTCGCTCTGACCACCCCTGTAGCTCTGCGCGACTCGCTTTCCTGCGTCCCTGAGCTACATTCATCCACTCTCCATCGATTTCCTCCTCCACTTCTCGCGCTAGGCGGCTGCCCTGCCGTGAGAGCACGATGACCAGACCGGCGGTCATGCCTCTCGCTCTTCTTTTCCAGGCGCTACCCCTGGACTTTCCTGCTGCCCTGCCAACCGCCGAGCCTGCCGAACGGCATGCCGCAGTATTTGAGAGTGAGACAGAGAGATTGTAGGAGAGAAGGTAAATATTACATATGGGCCCATGTAGTCAGTGAGAGTAAAGTAGGATCCTGGCCGGGGATTGTTACTTTCCTGCTATGTCAAACCGGTCCATACGGGTCCAAGGTCGAGATTGACCGGGATCAATGGGTATAGGGTACCGATTTCAGGGATTCAAAGTTTAGGGTTCGATTCCGACTAGGCGTATGAATTCAAGGTTTAACATAGACTTTACTCGATTTAAACATTTTGAGTACTTCCCAATTTCTATCTAAAAAATACGAGTAGTTCTCATCTGTTTCCACACGTCTCACAAGTCACACCCCATCTCCCAAAACAGAATGTGACACACCTGCCGTCTCCTTCCCTGGGCGAGAATGGAGTCTCCTCTGATCGACAGGTCGGAGTCGGAGTCGGCGCCGCGGTCGCGCAGACCCAGCGCGGAGAACACCCCTTCGCCCACCTCCTCGTCCGCTGCCTTTAGTGCCGGAGATGCAGACGGCCGCGCCGCCGACGACGACCACGAAGCGGTGGCTGACCGGCGTCTCGCCAGTAGCAGCAGGTTCGGCCACCTTGCCCTCCGCTGTTTCAGGGCCACGAAGAGCCCAACACCAGCAACGATTCCGACGCCGGCATTGGCCGCGGCGCGCACACCGTCGCGGACGCTGAACCCGCTCAACGCCGACACCTTCGCCGCGGCCGCTGCCCAATTCGCGGGCGAAGTGGCAGGCTCCCACCATGGTGCCGGTTCTCCCTCTGCATTGACAAGAGGTTAAACGTCAGGTATGATTGCGGCAGCTCCCCATTCTATAGCTTGAATCATGTTGAATCTTGGAGTACTCTGAATCTTGCAATGTAATGTGAATAACTTTCATCAAGTTTAGCTGCTCCATAGATGGACAGGACTATTGGGATGTAGCCTCTGCCAGATCAGTTCGGCGTTGCTAGTGTTTTTTTCTTGTGTGTGTTTAGCTGATCTTTCACGCCTGTGTCTGCTGGTGCAACATGTTTGTATTACCTGTGAACTTGTTTATCTTCTTGCTCCTTACGCTATTTGACCCTTCTGTATGACCTGTTGGCATGTGGTGCCTTTTGTCTGAAAAAATAACTTTGACTAATTATTTCAGGCGAAGATTGTTGATCAGAGGACATTTATCTTTGGTTTAACGTTGAGCACCACTATTGCACTATTCACCACCATGAAGGTGGAGAGTGTCATGTCCGCCGAAGTCGCAGCTTGGGTAGGAGGAGGCAGCGCAATTGCTTGGTTGTGTGTTAATGGGGGATCAATGATGAATTTGTATGGCCAAAGCATCTTTGAGCAGCGAGCAGCTCAACACTTGAGTCGTCTTGGAATGATGTGTTTAGCGCTCCTGTTCTGTTTATCCATGTACGCATGGTTCTTCCCTCACCTCTTGGGGCTATTCTGGACACTTGTGGGACTGGCTACTGCACTTCATGGTGTCGTGTGGCTTGTGGTACGTTGCCTTATTTTTCAACCAGTCCAATATATATTTGTACTAGTATGTAATGTATGCACGTGCAATGCACGTCTTAAAAGAATGGTGTGATTTTGGAGTGTGACTTGAGAAAAGTATAATGGAGTGACTTTGATAAATGGAATTCCACCCACAATTGTTTTCAATATTCATACAAAAAACTGTACGTTCACATCTAAAATACTGAAGGTTCATTAAAAAAACTGTATATTACTTTATTATTTTTTCTTCCCATTCTCCTCCCAAACCTTTTTATCTGGGCTCAAGTCGTCATGCGCTCAAGCAGTAATAGTCCATGAGGCATCACATATGGGCCTTTTTTTCCTGGAAGGGCCACGTGAATATTCTAGAACACAGCAGAGGCAACACCAGTCTACTGTTCATGGCGAATCCGGCTAATCTTAGCCCTTGGATTTTGGAGACCAACGGTTCTGATTGATGCTCTGCATCCATCTCAAAACTGGTACACTATATAGTAGTATAGATATAGATATAGATATAGATATACTTCGTTAAGCTTGCAGTCATAGGTATTTTTTTGAGGAATGCATTCATATGTATGCTCAGCTACAACCTTACAAGCTAACGTGTGCTGCTATTAATAACTGCAGAGCTGCCTCCGGCATGATGATGATAGCACCGTCAGATTGAGCGACAAGGACCTGTGCATGTGCCCGCGGTGCAAACCCTCATGCACCTGCTGCAGCAACCGTGGATGTGAGGCGGGAGAGTTAGGCTCATGCTGTTGAGTCCTTGTGAGTGCCAAGACAGTCGACAATATAGCTACAGGTGCTTGTTCAAAAATAGGGACCGACTCGATTGCTTGTGTCCATCCCAATTACACTGACATGATGTAAGGCTTCTTAGTTGGCAATGTTTGGTTTTCTTGCATGGGTTGGCGAGAAATATTCAAATAACTAACTCAGTTGCTTCTGTTCAGTCCAGATTCGACCGACGTGATGGTTATGCGGTGTTCTGAACAGCATGGGTGAGGAATGTCTTTCTGTTTTGTAAGAATCGGCAAGAACCTAAGCAAGAAGTGTGCAAGGACTAACTTGGTTGCTTTTGTTCAGTCCAAAATGACTGATTGACATGACGTAGGCTTCTTCTCTAGTTGGAGAATATCAGTTTTCTTATCAGAATAGGGGAAAACTATTCAAGGACTAGCTTGGTTGCATTGGTTGACATGATGGTAAGTAATATACAAGGTGGTGTTTCGAGTAACCTAGTTGGAGAATGCCCAGTTGCCTTGTAAAGGTCAGAGGAGATCCAATGACTGTCTCGGTTGGTTTGTTCAGTCCAAATTGGATTGACATGAATATGTGGCATTGTCTGGAACTTCTTGGTTGACTTGGATAATATTTAGTTTTCTTGCAATTGCAAGAATCAGTTGAGTACTGCACGAGATGATTGAAGCGAACGGTCAGTTACGGTTTGTTCTATGTTTGCTATTTTACTTAATTTTAGGTCCAGTTATATGCACATTTCTAGCTGCCTAAACATTATACACAGACTGCAGTCATATGTCATTTGTGATATTGTAAACAAAATAACTTTCTTTCTTTCTTTTGAAAAAACAACATATATATAACCAAAGCATGATACAAAAAAGGAGTGTTGTAAGTATCAATAGTACTGTAACATATAAAGCTGAACAGATCACCTGTGTTTGTATTTATTACAGAAGTAACACTACATGCTAGCTAATGTTCCTGTTTATTTTTCATGCCCTTTCAAAATGATGGCACAAACACTAAAAGATAACCTGTATCATCATCTCCTGTCTTATTTCAGGACAGCTATTTGGCATATGACTATTCATTGTGGTCAGACTACACATTTGTATCTGTGTCTATCCTGCAACTGTCCTCACCATTTTGAATGTGCTAGTAAAAGTATGAAAAGATCTCGCTCTTTCATGTGTCACCTCTTTTTTTTCGTTCTTCCGAAACTGTGTCATGTGTCTCCTCTGCATTATGTCCGCCTCTATCTACAGAAAAACAATCGGTTGCTTTGCTGATTCCTGTGTGTACTACAATGCTGTCTGTCTGTCATCCATCGCCGGGACCTGAACATAGATACCAACCCAAGGTCCAGAGTGGTAGTTCGTGTTTCTTTCTTTGGCTGCCTGTTCATATGCCGTTTCCAGTGGGCGCTGACGATGCGAACGGGCTCTCCGGGAGGAGTTCAATCTGGTTGCTGCGATGAAAAACCGAGCAATGGCATGAACAAGGATGAACAAACTCGATTCGATCAACATCAGATAATGGCACATATACATGCACACTTGAGAAGCAGTACCTCTCTTGGTCGTCGTAGTTGTTGTTTGCCTGTATGGGAGGGGCCTGGCTCTGGCTGGTTGAGACGATGTCATCAAGTTGATCAGCCGTGGAGAGGGGATCCATCGTCCGTCCCACTTCCTTGGAACCTGAAGACGAGATATGATCAGAAAGATAAGAAACAGAGAGAAAAGACTGCAGTTGGTCGTGGAAACACAAATGGCAGCGGCAACCAACCTGCGGATTGGGATTGGGACTGGGAGTGGGAGTTGAAGGGAGCGACGTCCCCGATGCTGCAATCAAAGTAGGCGGCGCACTGCGGCTCAACTACTCGGAGCCCGGCCAGGTGCCTCCTCTCGAGCTCCAGCAGCTGCTGCCTGTCGCGCGCCAGTTGCCTCCTCTCCAGCCTTGGAGAATCATACTGGTCTGCTCCCACAGATTAGTTCATCTGGTAGTGTTAGCTAGTCACAAATTTTAATCTGGTGTTGAAACTACATTACTGTTTGTACTATAGTAGTAGTACCTGGATAGAACTCTGGATCGGTCTCGATCCAGCGTGGAGGATAGCAATGCGTCGTCGACTTGTTGTTGGTCCTGTCCACACAGCACACATGCATTACTAAGTTGTATGAATGCTTCTTTTGTTGTGTAAAAAAAGATAGCCAGGATGAAGAGTATCTATGTTACCTCTCATTGATGCATTTGGTTTTCTCTCTGTAGGCTTTGGCGAGGACCCGTGATCCGCAGATGAAATGCGGGTTGCGCCGCATGAGAAGGGCCGTCACAGTCTCCGGGTTCTGGAAGCTCACGAACCCGAACATTCGATGGTCTTGGCACGGGATCCGAACGTCACGCACCGGCCCGTACTGCCTGGCCGCCACACAAATTGTTAACAAACAAACACATAAGCCTTCCTAGCATATTGAGAATTTGATGAATGAATGAACGAAGGGGTGAATGAATGATTACCCGAAATAATTGGCGACGTCGTCCTCGGTGAAGTTACTGTCGGAAGGAAACGTGAGGTATATCTGATGCGAGCTCGCCGGGATCTCCCCTCCCCTGTCGCTCCGGCAATCCGAGTACTTGGCGGCGTCCTCGGCGAGAACCACCGAGTGCTGCCCGTGCGGCCTACGTACAACATTTCCAAGTTCCAACAACATAATGAATAATGATCATGCGCGTACGTACGTCTACGTCCAGAGCCGACTCACCTTTCGATCACCCTGATCTTGTTGAGGCGGGAGAGCAGCTTGGTGAGGCTGAAGCCGGCCTTGCCGTGCCGCTGGCTCTCCGTCAGGTAGCCGTCGGCCTGGAGCCCCTTGCCGTACTTCTCGCCGTAGAGCGTGGGCAGCGACGCGATGGACACCGGCTGCCCGCGCCGCGAGTGGAGCAGCTCCGTGATCTCTATCTCCAGGCTCTCGAGGGACCCCGGCGTGGCGCCCCCGTGGATGTGGTGGTCGACGGCGAACCCGTCCGTGTACACCTGGTGGTGCGAGTAGTGGCAGTTCTGGCCGTTCTTGCAGATGCCCTTGAAGAAGTAGTGGCAGGGCCGTCTCGAGGACACCCCGTTAGACCGCCGGCCGGTCGCCGGAGGAAAGCCCGCGGCGGAGTAGTACCCCCCGCCGCCGCCGCCCAGGGCGCCGTCGCCGAGCGCTCCGTGCCGGCCGCCGCGCAGCCCGTAGTGGGGTTCGGCCGCGGCGGCGTCGACGAAGGCGTACTCCTTCTCCGCCGGCGGCGGGGAGTCCGGCGGCCAGTACTGGACGGCGGGGGAGAAATGGCGGAGGCCGGCGGGGTGGGAGCAGACCTGCTGGTAGCCGACGCCGTTGGGCTGGTGGTAGTGGTGGACGGGGGAGGCGGAGAAGCGGGCGTAGATGGCGGCGAGCGTGCCCTTGGCCTCGTAGATGGTGTTGCGCAGCGCGGCGTCGGTGGCGTAGGCGAGGTGCACCAGCTCATCCTCGTCGGGCTCCCGCAGCAGGATGCAGCCGACGATCTTGCTCACGTTGTCCGGCTCCACCTCCTGCACCCTGGAGAAGATGATCTTGGCTAGCTCCGCGGGCTCCATTGCCGCCGCCTGGACATGGGTCGGATCGGAGCGCCCTACGTAACCAACCATGAGCCCCTAGAAAAAACCAACAAGTAATCACCACAGATCACTCGACAATGGCTGAATCCTCGTACCTCCGATCAAAACGTGCAAGAGATTGATTGATTGGTTGGTTGATTGCGCACCGGCCGATCGACGGGAGAGAGAGACGCCAGGGAGTCGGCGGGAGGACTGGTGCTGCTGGAGCAGCTCTAGGGTACAAGGGTGGCGTGCGATTGGATCGGGAGAGAGTTTATAGCCGCGGCGCGCGCGTTCGCTGAGGAGAGGATGGCGGAGAGGGAAAATCGGTGTGAAATGGTTGGGTTTTGACTGGGGATGGAGCTAGAGTGCGGCAGATCTGATTCCTGCTATATCAACCATGGGTGCCAGGTCCAACCGGAATAAGCGGCCCGATAAATCCACGGACAAATATGGATTCATTCCGGCCGTGTGAAATATGCTGGATGCATGAGGGCAACGCAACCACCCCGTGGCCGTGGCCTGCCACCCGCGAAACGTTTTTTTGCCCCACCCAACCCAAACACAACGTACGCCCCTTCTCGCTCCTGGACTTTGGCGGCGGCGGCGCGCGGTTTAGAGTTCGACGACGATGATCATATGGAGACTGCGTCTCCCCTTCTGCTCTCTCCCCTAGTGGCGCGTGGTAGGGCGCGACGGGCGGCGGCGAGGCACGGACGGATGCTCTGCCGTGTGATGTGGTGTACGCGTTGATGTTGGACATGCAATTTCTTCTCGCGGTTGATCGAGGACGGCACAGGGACGAGCAGGCGGCCGTAGATGGCGGCAAACTCGGCCATGACGTGGGCGACCATGATCGACCTTCCACTAGCTTGCACCACCAGCGCACCCACGCGTGCGTCTGGATACTCCAAGCGGTGCCCGCGGCCGGGGAGGATCTTGGGGAAATGATACTACCAGCGTTGATTATAACAATGGTGTTAGCCCTAATGATTCTAATCAATATTGGTGGTATCATGAATTGATCTTCGTTTATAGGCTGGTCATGGTGGGGTATCATCATGAATTGATCTCCGATTAGTAACATAATGCACTCCAAGATAAGGTTGCTTATGTGGAGTTAATGAGAAAAGAAGTTTTTTGGGGTAACGTAATATGTTACCATCACATAGTGCTTTTCAAGATAGAGTTGAGATCCTCTGCATCACTATACCCTGTTGTAGTGTAGATGACAAGTGGGGTCGGGTCCGCATGGCAGTGACCGTACTGCAACTACCGCAGAAGATCCTAATCCCCAAAGATAAAATGAGTCTACATGCTAATAAATACAATCATCTACCATGATACTACCTTTATGTTACTACTTTACACTACAAAGGTAGTAACATAAACTAATGTTATATACATGACACTAGTCTAAATTACTCCTCACTATGATGACTAGCCTAACTAGACCATGTTTAATCTTAATAACTAATGTCATGGTTTAATTTCTTACGGATCAATGATAACAAATCATGATTAAACAAATTATAATGTTTTGCTGTTAGCACCTTATGATCGTGTGTTAAGATATGCTAACTCCATCGAGTTTATTGGGCCTCCTCGTATTTTAGATTAAACTTTAATCATCTATATAACTGATACTCCCTACGTCCCGAATTACTCGTCCATTTCTGCGATAAGTAATTCAAATGGACGGAGTAGAATATATGAGGTATATATATACTATAAAAAGTATATTATTGGATTTGTATTTGAAAAAGGTGTCGCATGGTATATTTTCTGATGTTCAAACTTTTACATAAACTAAGAGGGGCAACATAAACACAGACGGAGGAAGTAAAGTACTGCTCTCTATTTAATTTAATTGTTCATGCATGTTTTACGGTTTAATTGCTCCTCATTATGATATATCGTGTTTAAGTAATAGGCCTAACTAATATGGTCAAGTGTCCATCAATTTTCTTATTTAGATTAATCATGCATGCTTAAGTTCGGTAGCCCTCTCTTAAAGCTAATGACTGTTGTTTAGGGTTAGCTAGTTCTGGTCAAGGCTCTAATTACTACTACCTCCGTCCTGGTTTATAGGTCCCTTTTATAGTTTATGCCAAATTTTGACTAAAGATTTAACTAACAAAATGTTAATGCATGTCAAGAAAAATTATCTCATTGGATTCGTATTTGAACATAGTTTTGAAAAATATAATGTTTGGTGACATGCGTAAACATTTTCTTAGTTTAATCTATGGTCAAAATTTGGCACGAAATACAAAGGGGACCAATAAACCCGGACAGAGGTAGTACGTACTAGTGCAAAACTGCAAATGATATTTAATCATGTTAAAGTTTTAGTTAATGTCATCAAGCTTTGACCTTAATCTTTTTATGCCGCAATTAGAACACGGAGATGAATTAGTAACCGATGAAATCCCCCCAAAAATCCCAATCACCTAAACCCTAACCCTAGAACAATTTCCTAATCCCGAAACCTATGAATGAGATCCACCAAAAGTGGGTTCGGGAGGTTTACGTAATGCACATTGTGCCACCATCTCCTCCTTTGTGGAGAGTTGCATGGGGCGGACGATGTCGTCGTGGCAGCAGGAGTGGTCTCATAAGTCGCTTACGACACCATGCACGTTACTTATTTTTTTCAGAGAAAAGGCCAAAGCCCGACTTTATAGATAAAGCCTCAAGGCAGCGTCACGGATACCGCAAGTTCACAGGAGCACACACACACAAAGAAAAGGAAGAGAGTAGCCAAAGCAGGAAAGATACAGGCAACTGCCATACACGGCGCGCAGGCCGGGGAGGGAGAAACACCTAATCTCCGCAAGCGACAGCACCAGATTTAGACGACAGGGTTCCTCCCGGAGATCTGAGAAGCCGAAGCCCGAATTTTGTCGATGAGCAGGTCCAGGGCATCCCGACCAGTCTCCTTAGTCAATGGTCTCCACTGCTGCAAGAATATACATGATTTGAAAAGAACATTAGTAGGCTTAGATGGGAAGGTAAGTTCAATAGTAAATTTGTTTCTAATGGTCCAGAGAGCCCAACATAAAGCTCTCAGGCCAACCCAAAATACCCTCTTGGTGACCCCGACCAAGGCTTTGGCCAGGGTTCGAATCTCAGCGAAAGAGGAGGGATTCCAGGGAACCCGAAGCCAAGATCTGACGCAACACCAAACTAATTTGGCCAGAACGCAATTGAAAAAGATGTGATCAGAGTTCTCCAAGGCCCCACATAAATTACAGAATTCCGAGCCCGGCCCATTGCGTTTTTTGATCTGATCAGCAGTCGGGAGGCGACCACGGAAGGCTTGCCAGAGAAAAATCTTAATCTTAGGAGGAACCTTGGATTTCCAAACGCAAGAGAATCGAGCCGAAGGAGTACCACCAATAAGTCTAGAATACAACGACTTAACCGAAAATCTACCAGAGGCCGAAAGAGGCCAAATCACCGAGTCGCCCGACTCCGAGAGCACAAGGAAGAGGGCAGAGAGACTTTGCCAATCTTCCAACTCTTCAGGAGACAGGGCCCGACGAAAAGCCAAATCCCAATTATTAGCAGCCACCTCCGCGATGGAGATCTGCGGATTAGGACAGTAAGAAAACAAAACCGGAAAGCGCACGGCTAGGGGGGCATCCCCAGACCACCAATCCAACCAAAATCGAACAGCCAACCCATTACCAACAATAAACTTAACATGCTCCAGAAAAATCGGTCTAACTTTGACAAGGGCTTTCCAAAACTGAGAGCCACGCCGCGCGGAAGCAAACAGCGGGTTGGAGCGAGGGAAATATTTGGCCTTAAGAATCGAAAACCACAACGACTCGGCCCCAACAGTCATAATTTTCCACCACCACTTGATAAGCAAACAAATGTTCATCACCCGAGTATTAATAATGCCTAACCCCCCAAGGTTCTTAGGTTTACACATAAGTTGCCACTTGACCAGCCTATACTTTCTTTTGTTATCAGCGGAATTCCAGTAGAAGGCACCCCTATTTTTGTCGAAGCCAGCATGCACGCCAGTCATGAGAAGATAAAAGCCCATAAGAAACATAGGGAGAGAGGATAAGCAGGAGTTGATTAGAGCCACTTTGCCGGCATTGGTATTATATCTACCCCTCCAAGGGAGCACCCTGTTCCCCACTTTAGCAACCGCCGGAGCGAAATCATTCGCATGAAGCATTCCAGGAGAGATAGGAAGGCCTAAATACTTGAAGGGGAAGGAGCCTAATGAGCAGTTAAGGAGCCTGGCAACCTGCAAGGCTTCCGCCCCATCAACACCCGTCACCATAACCTCACTCTTGGCGAAATTAATCTTAAGACCAGAAACGGCTTCGAAACACAACATGATGAATTTCAGATTGGCAATACAGGCGTCATCCAGCTCCACCAAGATGATTGTATCATCCGCATATTGCAGATGGGAGACACCTTCCGGAAGTAAATGGGAGGCCACAGAGCGATGTGCCCACAGCGGGCCGCCCTGGAGAGCATGCAAGAGAAGGCGTCGGCCACAAAGTTAAAAAGAACAGGGGAGGCAGGATCCCCTTGGCGAAGGCCCCTGCCATTCGCGAAGAAATTGCTAACAAAGCCGTTAACAGCAACGGCAGTATGGCCACCCGAGACCAACTGCATGATACGATGAACATAAGCACCGTCGAAGCCTTTAGCAAGGAGGACCTGCTTGAGGAAGGGCCAGCTAACCGAGTCATACACTTTTTCAAAGTCTAACTTAAGAATAATCGCTTTAGCTCTTCGCACATGAAGATCATGAACAATCTCATGAAGGGAAAGAATACCGTCAAGAATGAAACACCCTTTGATGAAAGCAGATTGAAAGGGGCTAATAACTCTATGAGCTACCGGAGACAAACGATTCGCAAAGCCTTTAGCCGGGAATTTGGCAAAGTTGTTAATCAAAGCAATAGGCCGAAATTGGGAGATAACATCATCACCCTTGACCTTAGGAATCAGGGATATCACAGCGTAATTCAGGTGAGAGATATCGACAGTACCAAGGCAGAAACCCTGGATAA